AATGAACGTTGAGGTCTTTGACAATTTGTATGAGGACTTTTGGTTAGAAGGATTGAATCCGCTGTATGTTGGATGGCTTGGCAGAACCGCACAGTACTATTTCTTACGCCCAAAATTGTCGCAGTAAAGGCCTTGTACAAGGTTCGTTTAGTGTTGACAGTCAGGACGGATTTCGGTCCTAGAACTCTTCGTAGTTATCCTAGTCTTCTGTTAAGTTGTCTTTGGTCTTGAGTGGGGTTTCCACATCTGCTGTCTTAAGTATAGGGCTTGGATTGAAATCGCTATTTCTTTCTTCTTTAGGCACAGTGGAGGGCAAGATGTTTTTTTTTCAATGTGGACGTACACTGACTACTCTTTTCTTCATTCAGTCTTGTCCTCCACTTTTTCACCAGTTTTCGATTTGCTCAAGATGTTGTTGGGTGTTGGAGGTAACTTTGGTAGGATCCGAGTTAGAGGAAAAAATTATGTTATCGTCCGCGTAGGTGGTGATAATTGTATTAGGGCGCATAGGGTGCATCTACGGATAAATGATACAAAGGATGGAACCAAAAATGCTTGGAGTCGCCGACTTGTATTTGTGTAAGTTCCGAATACTCATTGTCGCTTCATTCTAAAGCAGCGGTCTGTTAGATAATAATTCAGGAATTTCAGGATAAAGTATTAGGGGGTAGATAGGAAGCGTTTGAGTTTATAATCTCCGGGTGCCAGACCCCATCAAAAGCCTGTTCTAGGTTATCCTACCCAAGGGTCATTTTTTGTTTTTTGTAACTTTTTATACATCTTTAGATCCTGCATATTACTTTATTTTTCTACCNATATAATGACGTAGAAATAAACTCAAAGCAAATGCAGAAAATTAAATTAAAGAAAGGTGGTAATAGGGGAAGGGAATGACAAAAAATGTCACAGAAGGCTATGCGAAAATTTCATCAAACAATTTCCTGGAAGAATGTTAAGCTTTTTAATTGTATTTGACTTTGTAAACATATTGCAAAACTTGTGAATACCATCGTGAACACGTTCTGATACATACCTATTCTGAACAAGTTAGATCATTCAAGTGTATTCGTATCTTAATGACACATTTAACGCTTGCATGAATACCTTAATTATTTTAATGTTTTTACATATTTTAACAATCCGTTATTCATAAAATGTACGTACTTGTAGGGCTTATGTTAAATTTAATTTAATTCTTAAGGAGGTACAATTTTAAGAAATACAGATGGAAATGGTTTTAACTAACGCTGGAAGTTCATTTCTCAGTTCGTTACACTCATCACTTGACCCCTTTTACTCTCGTTCCATTTAAATTATACCAACAATATAGATTCATCAATTTAATATACCTCGTTTTAAACATAAATCAATTTGTATGATGGTATATAGATCGTAAACGAGAGAAAATAAAAACGAAATGGGCGTAACGAACGCAAAATGGAAAATCCATTGGGTATAACACATGGTCAAATTACGCAGCGAGAAAATGCAATGGGCTCGATTATCACAGAAATATTTACAACCCGTATCAAGATTTAATTTTCGGAAACAGGTGACTAGCTTCTATTCCACTGAACACCAAGGTTTGGGCTGACTGCTTCTATAATCCAATCCCTTTTTGTTATGTGGGTTACTTCGAAATGCTTCTTCCAAATGGGGTCGCCATGATATTAAACGAGAACCGTACGAAAACAGTTATAAAGCTATTTAAGCTGCTTAAGAGAGACGATTTACATTTCCCTCTTTATATTCAAGCAACAGTCATTGTTTTTGTTTTTTCTTTCTTTTAAGCCTATCATAATAAGCTTTTAGTTATGACGGCCGTATTTTCTTCCATCTACTTCGCCACAGGGATTTAAGAAAAATATCCAGCTTTCTTAAATCTTTACATAAGGCCAATGTTGCCAATCAAAATTAGTGCCAAGTCTATAAATTATAATTTGAAGTGTACAATAATCACTGAATTATCTTTTACTGTCTTTTTAACATTTGCAATTCTTGCTGGTCCATTTTAATGACTACCAACCGACTAAACTTTCTTACAACTTTAATTCTGCTCAACTATATAATTCTTTTCCACAAACAAAGCAAACCTGCCATCTTTCCTTCATCCTACCGTCCTATCAGTCTCCTTCCTACGATGAGTAAAATTTTCGACAAACTCCTATTAAAACGCCTGTACCTTCTCATTTAGGTAACTTACACTTTTTTATTTTATAATCTTGTGGACGATATTTTATCCTCCCTTGAGAGCAGAAGTTGTCCGAATGTGTTCCTTGCCATTGCTCAAGCTTTTGACATGGTTTCGCACCCAGCCCTCCTGTGGAAGCTGAAAGGCATCTTACTCAGGACCTACCACCTAATCCTTAAAATCGTACCTGTCTGACCGTATCGATATCCTTTACCTATCCTACCCAAGCTGGCGTCCAACATGGAAACATTATTTGACCTTTCCTTTACATTATATACTGCTGACATTCCTATCCTTCCAGAAACAATTTTCTCCTCTTTTGCTGATGGTACAGCAATCCTTTACCCTCGTAAAGATCCAGATACCGTACCGATACATTCAAATCAATTTAACTCGACGTTGGGTCCAAAAAGTAGAGAATTAAAATAAATGAAACCAAGAGGTTGAGAAGAGAATTACACACCCTCTGTTTATTTTATGATAATTTTTTAAATAAAGTTATTCCGGTGTTTTGATAAATTTTCTGCCTAACCATCATAATTAAATAATTTTTATAAAAACACATGAATTTTTGAACTAGTTTAATTTGATTTACATTAAAATAAGCAAGTTGTAATTAATATATCAACAAAATTACATATACATAGTTTGAAATAAACTACAAAAAATACTGGTCCGGTTCTGACGATACTCGACGAAAATGGTGTAATTTTATGAGCAAATCCATGTAATAAATTGTTAGTTACATTTTATGAACAAAACCGTGTAATAAATTTTAGTTAAATTTTATGAGACAACCATGTAATAAATTGTTAGTTAAATTTAATTGTTTTAAATAAATTTATTCCGGTGTTTTGATCAAATTTCTGCCTAACCATCATAATTAAATAATTGTTATAAAAACGCATGAATTTTTGAACTAGTTTAATTTGATTTACATTAAAATAAGCACGTTGTAATTAATGTATCAAATCTACGGCTCCGGTTCATGCACTAAATTGTTAGTTAAATTTTCTGAACAAAACCATACAATAAATTGTTAGTTACGTTTTATGAGCAAAACCATGAAATAAATTATTAGTTAAATTTTATGAACAAAACCGAGTAATAAATTTTAGTAAAATTTTATGAGAAAAACCATATAATAAATTGTTAGTTAAATTCATTCTATCAATAAATGGAATTCCGGTGTTTTGATAAATTTTCTGCCAAACCATTAAAATTAATTCTTTTTTAATAAAAACTCATGAATTTTTGACACTATGACAATAATATATATAGTTTGAAATAAAAATATGAGTGTCCGGTTCTTTTGTCTTCGACTGTACTCGACGAAAATCTGGACAGAGGGGATCTTGGTTGTAACGCGTAGCGTAGAGTAGGGTAGCGTTGCGTGTCATCGGGTAGATGTGCACGGGGGTAATACTGTCTTACGGAAAATTGGGCATTGGATTTGCATCGGGTGGCTTTTAGTCACGTCGTGTAGCGTTCCCTCGGGTAAGTGTGCTGGAGCAAAAAATACCTAATATGTTGACTACCCTCTGGATAGTTGTTGCTGCCTCATAAATGGCCTTTATTGTTACTTTTCCTTTTCAGGTTTTAAAGTAATGACCGTCGTGCACTTTTTTTCCAATCGTGTTGATTCGGCAAGCAACTCCATTCTGTTTTACAACATTTTGCAGGTCATCAGGTGAAGGTCCTTTAGATCTCATCTTCCATCACTGCACGCATGTTTTTATAATTTCCTTTTCCCTATCTCGATTTAAGTAAGGCAGTAGTATCCGGCGGACTTTTTGTTCCAAATGAACATCTTGTTCTACTACTTTCGCTAACAGAACATGATAGCATTCATAGTGCTTCCGAACACTTTGATTAATGAGTTTGGACAATTTACCATGTGAGATGTGCGGCATACTTCATTTTTAAAAATTGTAAAGGCACATCAAATAACGAGTAAGCTGGCGTTATCCTTGTTAGTATTCTGAGCAATTAAATGTGGGATTTTTTACAGTTCTAGTATTTGTGATCTTCTTTTTTTTAAATCTGTATAATGTATTAAATTGTGTAAATGATGTGTGGAAATGTTAGTCATTTGTTACATTTTTTGTTTAATTAGTTAATTTGTGTATTGAAAGTGCTTTTTTCTTTTGTACTCCACGTCAAAAACAATAAGGTTATGCGACAAATTGTACAAGAGAAACGATAAATGTGTGAGATCGTTCGGGATGCCGCCTTGTCCTATAAAGGACACATTTCAAGGACGTTATTCGGACAGTCATGATCAACGAGACGAGCATAATTAAGAAAGGACGAAGGTGCATTGGGAAATCAACCGGCCTGCTGAAAATGAGAAGCAATTCAGCCAATAGTACTTAACTCGAACAGGTCCGCCCCCAATCGATATTGGTAAATATCCTCGTATTTATAACCCGGTTTAAAGGGTTGTTACAATCGTAATTTACCATGAGATTCTAACCGAGAGAAAAAAACCCTTCAGACAACAACTATGAAATAATGTAAATTATTATTATATTTCAAAACAGTGTTTAAAAAAATGTTCTGTGTCGATATCAGTCCTAAAATTTATTATAAAGATTAAATACCAAAGATAATAGCTTTTATTAATAATTGGAATGTTTAATCGAAAATTCATTTTCATAGCTTCTTCAGAAAAAAATAGAACATCCTTATCGTCAAGAAAAGCCTTTCGAGAAAAAAAATCTCTATGTAATATAACGTTTTATGCAAATGACAAGTATAGAAAACGGAACAGAGGTGCAAATTTTATTAGTTTTGTTAGGAAAATCACCTGATGTAGGAGATAGCATAAGAGGGGTTGCCCCGTTCATTCCGGATCCACGTCTCATCTGAAACATAGTAAGAAGCTTTAAATTACTGAACAGTCTTAGGCAAAAGTACAATTGAAGCAGAACAATGGGCATTAACAAAATCCCAATTCTTACAACGTCCATTAGAATATACCAAGGTACACAATAGATTTCTTTACAATAAATTTACAATACTTCTTCATAAACAAAAAAATTCTTAATGTCTGTAGAAAAAATGCATATTTTCATCACACCGTTAATTAATAAACTGATGAGAAAAAAATCCGTGTAATTTCATTTCACGCGAACGTATTACTGCAACTAGTTGTAAGAAAGAAAAACCAATATTTCTTACATCTTGCATCTTAAGCAAACATTTTAGTCCTTTTTAAAGTATTGTAAAGCAATTAGTGTGAATTATATGATGTTAAGGATTACAAATGAAGCCACAGAACGAAAAAAGCATTTAAATGGTATAAAATTGTGAGGCCAAATAAATTCGGATCATTTTGGTATGCCACGTGGTGGCGCTTAATCGTACTAGTAACTTGAGGGTAGCCTTGAAATATTAAATTACAGGTAGTTCAAAATAGATTGCTTTGCGTGTGTACAAATCTACGAATAATAGTAACAAGAAAAGTTCGTTCGGGTTTTCACTTGCGATTGTTAATACCATTAATTAAGCTTTCTCTTTACAGAGGAGAATTAGGTTTGCTCCAGCCCAGAAGTCGTTCAAAATGTTTACAAATATACTCCACCAAACCCAAAGCATCACTGATTGTTGTGAATATTCGGTTTTCCCTTCAATAGGACATGGTCATTTCGTAACAGCCGATGGTATGCCTCCTGGTGTTAATGTAAACGATCTATTTTTCGTGGAAGGTGACAATCCGGTCAAAATACAGGGGTATTCACTATGTTTGTAAGACGTTAACTCTAAGGTAACTACGTGGATGTCCTCAGAAAAAAAAGGGTTTAAACAAAAAAAAATTTAAATAAGGTTAATCCTTCTAATTAAAGAAATAATATAAAACATATATACATTAATTTACAAACAATAAAAACTTATTATAAAGACTTTACTCACAATCTACACTCAGCTGAGATATAAAATATGAATTTAGGAGAGATCAGAAGACAGAAATCTAAAAGCACGTATTCACGTGGTCGACCCAAGAAGAGAAGAGAGAAAAAAATCCTTTTTTTTTATCTGAGAGGTTTTTCGCCGCGAAAACTCTGTATCTTTTTGTGGCGCCCTCTTTCAGGCTGGCGCCCTTTTCCAAAATTCTCCAACACATATATTTATGTTATAACTCGAATAAAGAAATATCCAGTAAATGCCCCCTTCTTTACTTAGCATTTTAAACGTTAATTTTTCCGCAATGCTTCGCCTGGTAATTGGTAGAATAACCAAAAATAAAGCTATAACAGTCCTTAAAGGCTTGTTGTTGTTTGTTTTGGTTTTGTTTTCTGTTAAATTGTAAGATGCCAGAAGTTAATAAGAAAAGGATAATTAATCAACTCTTTCATTCAAAATCCAATATGCACTCGAAAAGTACTAACAAATGGCACGCTTCAATTTGTGCCGACATAGATAACTTGTAACCTAATGTCTAACAGCCTACTACTTTATAGCATAGGGGATGTATCAATTCTCTGATTTAATTAATGGGTATTTAAGAATAAAAATACGTGTAAACAAAAAAAAGATCATATATATGTATATACCCTTGCCGCTGAAGCCTTGTATAGCGCATCGAGCAGTTCCATGAGATACTGGAGCAGCTTCTCCTGTGAGTCCTTTTTAGCTGCTTCAGGAGCCAACGATTGGAGTAACTTGGGTAATCCAGTTAAGGCATGAGAGAGCCTTCTTTAATTTCCAGAAAGTACTAACTATTTAATATTTATCATGCTTACACCCAAAGATATTATAGTTGCCAAAACGAGGAGCCAGGAAAACGATTTAGGACCACCAAGAACATCGGAAACCCGCATGAGGTCGACGTGGCTAAAGTTTTTCGACAAAAGATAAATACGAAATTGGCAAGTAAATATATAAGTATCAATGTGAATTTAAAAAAGTTAAATCTACTATGCATAATTTAACCAATTTGATTTTAGGCATGCGAACAGGTTTTACTACAAATGAGGCAACTATTGCAGTATTTCTCCATTTAGTCGGGACCTATGACAAAGTAGATCTTGTTGTAGATCATTTAGTCGATTTTAGCACGTTCAATGAGTGTAATAGGTTTACCCACTCAATTCACTAAAAATGTTATAAACCTAATTTCAAAAAAGGTAATATTATAATTTGTGAGCATTTCGATGGTTCCGCGGCTATCTCAATTCCGCGTACCATAGGGTCGTATCGTAAAGTTCGAAACTTTTCTCCATTTTTACGAGATATTATTATGAATTACGTTATTACCGTCCTTTTACAACAAAGAGGAGACTTCTTTTAGCTCGGGTAACATTAAAAGTTCAAAATTACCGATTTTCTGAGATCAAGCTAAAATCAAACACGCGTTCATTTTTCAAGAAGCAGAAATTGTTGCAGCCCGTTAGTACAAAAAGTAAAGTCTATAAAAGAGTTCAAGATAAAGTGATAAGATTGTAAATCAAAATATGTAAATGCAGTGCCGGGTATGATTTTTATTATTTCGACGTTACTGGTCATTTTGTTCTGTCTGTCCCGCTAGTCTGGATTGTCAGATTGATATATTGCCACATTTTAGTTTCTGGCCTGTGCGAATTCTCTTAAGTTTCTTTTATAAGACCGTCGGGATGGAGTGAGTATTTCCGATTTTTCTTTGTTGTCGTTGCCTTTCGTTCATTATTTCTAGGTCTTATTTAATATTAAGCCATTTATTTTTAGTGGTCCAATTGACCATATTAATTATTTTTATTAATTACGTAAAAGAATAATTAGTTTTATGTATTGTTCAGGTCGGTCTTTGTGATCGTGAGCAAACATCGTGAAATGCTGAAACACATCTAGCTTACCAACTCAGAGAGGGTAGGCACATCAATATGATCGGTGAGGCCCAAATTGATTCAATTAGTGCTGGGTCAGTATGATTTTTGCGAATTCAAGTCTCTTTTATAAGGTCATGAAAGGTGGAATGCGTCTTTCGGAGATTACTTGGTTTGTCGTTGCCTTAGTTTGATTAAGTCATTTAATTTCCATCTGTGATTTCTAGGACTATGTGAGGAGGTAGGCAAAAATCGTCGGTAAGGATCAGATAATACCTTCACTCCGCAAACCACAGGAAGGAATTACACAAAATATATTAATAGAATTTTACTTATTATTTTGTTGTTTTGGAACATTGAGATCGATCTATATCTCCTGACTGACGAAATTAGTTCGACTTCTGCATGATCATTTGACTCATCATTTAGATTAATGATAGTACGGTTTATCAATGAGTAGCAATTGTGCTCTCTTGCTGAATAAGAAATCATACGATTTTCATGAACAAACCCCTACCACTTGTTTTTCAATACATTGATTTTCCTTTCCTAATTGTTCCCAGTACGTCTCACTTGGGAGAAATCAACTTGAAAAAAATTCATTGTTCAAAGCTATCACACTCGTGAAATTTCAAATCCAGACAGTGAAAATAACTTCTAAATGTTTATTAATTAATTTGGCTATATATATATATATATATATTTTTTTTTTTTTGACAGGGGCATCCGACAGCTTGGTCATTTCAGCCCGAAGCACTAGCAAAATTTCGCAACACGCTCTATACACATCACACCAATAAATACATTCATACCTATTTACATTGATCGCTTTCATATTTGGTAGATGGAGTACTCGATATTCCTCCATCTACCTGTTCCCTATAATAGACTACTCTAATTTGGTGTCGATGGGGTAGTTTAAAAGTTTTCCGCCGTAGACCCAAGTCACTTCCGCAACATGAGGGGCGATAGAAGATCAGCCCCTCTCCATTCCCACCAATAAATACATTCACACAAACATAAATTGATCACACTAATACTGTTTGATAGATGGAGTACTCGATATTCCTCCATCTACCTGTTCACTACGATAAACTAATCTAAATTGGGGTCGATAGGGTGTTTTATAAAATTTCCGCCATCGGCCCAAGTCATACACACAACCTGAGAGGGGATGACGAAGCTGCTTGGCCATCAGCCCCTCCCCATTCATAACAATAAATACTCACTCATACAAGACACAGAAACACAAAACACATAACTTGACTTCTATATACAATAAAAAAATTCCCAATTCCCTTAAGAAGCGGAATAGAGGACCCTGAAACTCGCTGCTGCGTCCGAGAACCCCCTTTAAATCTGGCGGCATGCCTACTCGCGCCGTGAAGGGAGCCAAGGCACGACAAGCTTCGACTATGTGAGACACATCGAGCAACCTTTCTCTCCATAACGGACACCTTCGTGGGGATTGGTCCATGAGCAAGTGTCCATGTGTCAACCGAATATGACCTATTTTCAATGTGGCAAGAACTATTCTTTCTTTACGGCTCAGATACTCGGTGGGCCATCTGCAGGTCGTGCACTTAACACGAAGAAGTCTCTCGGATGACCCTGCCCACTGACGCTGCGATTTATCTCTTATCATCTTTTTTACAGCACGTTTAACGTCAGAGGGCCTGATCGCGATGGTCCGTTCGGGAGGGTGAGGCTTCCGGCTTTCTCCGCCGAGTCTGCGCGTTCGTTACCCTCCAGGCCGATGTGTCCAGGGTCCCAGACAACAATCACCGTTTTTCCGAGGCGCACAAATTTGGCATATATTTCTAGCAAGAGCATGACCAGAGGGTCCACAGAGAATCCGTCACGCAGCGCCCAAACAGTTCTCAGAGAGTCGGTACACACGAGGAAGGCTGAACCCTCCTCGGTCCGCACCGCCTCGAGAGCGTGCCAAATCGCGTACATTTCCGCCGTGTATACGCTGCAGTGCGGAGGCAACGACCAAGACTTGGCCGCTCCCTCGCTATACACAGCACGGGCCACACCATCGTCGGTTCGACCATCGACCC